CCTTAGCGTAACATTCGCTGAACTGTATACACAGAGGCAGATTTTATAAAATTAAGGCAATTTATATGCATGTAGCACAAGAACATGTAGCAGGTTAAATAATGAAACAATTTCTTCTAAAGTATTTAGAATTGTATATCAAAGTTTAAAAAGAAGCTGAATGTTATCGCAAGTATATAAATTCATGATTGTTACTAAAACATAAGCATTTTAAAGAGTATTCAATTTGCTAAATTTATGAATGTTCTTGCAATGTTAAGCCCCCATAAAATGCAACAAAAACAACTGTCTATTAAATAACCTTGTGATGCATCTTTATAAATTTTTATGGAAGAGAAACATAATATCAAATAAGGTCTTGCAAAACTTTCGTTACATACATACGCATGAAGGAAATATCAATGAATGGCATAGGTTTATAGGCGCAAACAAGATTGAAGAAAATTTACACTAAAAAGTGACCACTGGATCCACATGTTGCTGACATTGTCAAGTTGTTTGGCCTGGGAATGTTGTTTTATTTTAATACTGACATATATCTTGAAAAAAAAACACTTTTATTTATGAGTACTTTCCAATCATATTTCAGTCCTTTATATAAACATATAAAACTGGTTCCACTTGATTAAATACTTAATTTTGTTTTTGTTAGAAATAAAACATATTGATTGTATAGAGACATCAATCGTGACATATAACTTCCGGTATGATTTCCAGATGGTGTCTGTTACAAAAATTGTCTCCTTAGAAAATTGACATTAACTCAGCGCTCATGGTAGCTTTTCGGGAATTTCAAAGAAAACTCGTGAGGAAAGAATTTTTTTTTTTTAGATGTGTAAGGGCGTTCGTGAATTACAGCAAACCCAGAAGTTAATTGATAAGCAAGACCAGGAAGAACAAGAACTTTTAAGATGCCTAGGATTTGCATACATATTTTACCACAGTAATACATTTTATTAATCTATAAATGTTATATCCTTTCACAGCTATCTTCATCACGAATTTTTTCTTCTGAAGGCATCCTGGAAATTGAAATTGTTTGTACTGTAGCGACTTATTTAAATATGTATAACGAAAGTTTGATAGTATTTTGTACGTATAATACAAAAAAACTGACGATCATAATCCCAAGAACAACACCTTACATCTCCAGATGATAGAAATGAAAGGAATCTGGCAGTTGGATATTGTTATGATAATTGAAAACGTGCGAAAGTACCATCTTAAAATGAAACATTTCAAACGGTTTTGAAACATTTTTAAATAAGCACTAACTAAGGTCACTGTACATAAAATATCATTATATAAACTATATGGTATCTCTGAGTGTAATCTTTTAAAATTATCAATTTAAATGAGATATTCCCATGCATAGTATGGTGATAAAATGAACATAGGTATATGTTACTATCGTCGAGACATCAATACTTTTATTGGTATTAAAACTGTGTGTTAAACTGTAATTTCAACTTGACTATTATTCATGTGAGACAAAAATGAAATTTACTCCTGCGGAAGCTTTTCATGATATTATTTCATAAATGATATGCCAATTTCCTTCAGACAGAGCTTTTTGAGAAATGGTTCAGATCAGACAAAAGGCATCAAACAGAAATGGTGTGCATTAAAAAAATGGCTATAAAGTCGTAAACCAATATCAATTCAATATGCGAATTGTTAAAAACTGCCAAGTTACCGGAGGTCCTAAGTACAAGTCAATAAATGTAATATTATTGTGGTATAGCTTATAATGTCTTGCAGTATATTGAAAAACAGTGGCGATTTTTAAAATTATTTTTATTTAAAATGTTGTTGTTGTTGTTTTTTGTTGTTATTTTGTTTTTAGGGGGTTAAGCCTGCGTATTCCCTACAGTAAATAGATTATAATGTAAAGATGATAACATTAAGGCTATTTCTGACACGTATTTCAATGACGTAACTGAATAATAATTCAATGTAAAATAATAAAGTTCAATTATGTTTCCTATTATAATATTGTTTTTCATCCTTCCTATTATAGTATTGTCTTAGTATAATTATATTTTATCCAATTCTTAGATACTACCGGTTACATAAGTACTACAAACGTTATATCTATATCATAAAATTGTTTAAGGAAAGAGCAAATGTGTGAGAAAATGTCATATAATTTTTCAGTTTGTATCCCGAAACATTTTCAAACATCAAGACAAGTTCCTTTTGGTAATGTAAAAACGATTACATTTCCAATACTAAGTGAATTACATTGTTTTTGTAATACATCGTGACGTTGTTATTTAAGGTCCAGGTGTAAATCAAGTGTTGAATGGGTTTTTGTAAATTGTTATTACATACGAAAACTTCTTTTCGACAAGGGTAAGTGCAACAGTAACATCGAATTTGTGCAATGTATGGCCAAAAAGAGCAACACGGTAAGTAAAGAGACAAAATATGTAACTGTACTTAGATATTTAATGGAGGATATGGCTGCTTAGCTATAACATTGTAATCCTCATTTAAATATCGCGGTGATACTGTTCTGTTTTAAAAGTTGATATATTATTTTACCCGTAAAATACGTCTCAATAGACAGATAGTTTCCTTTCATTATCTGTGGAATATAGTATGTGTCCTTGTCGGAAATAAAAATGTAATGAGTTGGCTAAATTTAGCCTAAATCACATGCCTAAGAATACGCAGGCAGCACTCGTTATTATAGAAGTGATTAATAGTACTGTTTTTCTTTAAATGAAGTCTGACCTGCTTTTTGACAATACAGTATAGGAGTGTTAAAAGATATTTTTATGTTCAGATATTGATACACAATGATAAAAGTCATCTACAATTAACAAAACCAACATCACACGATAGGTCAAGAAAGTATGTTTTGTCTATTTTATAAAATAAAAATATAGATCAGGCAGTATATAAACTAAAGTCAATATCTAGGCCAGAAAAAATCTTGATTTCTTTTTCTCATTGGATAGTCAATGTTTGTTACCAAAATAGACTGCGGTATTAACTTATGTGTAGTATGTTAAATCATATCTATAGCGATTAAACGACCATACGCTTTTCGCATTTCATTTAACAGCAAGAGTTTTTGCAAAATTAAATGATACCTTGCAAAATAGCCAATTTGTTTATTGTACAGCATTCGTGGATAAATTAATGTATCAAAACATTTTTGACGGAAAGTAATGAAAAGATGAATTTTTCCTATATTTACTCACAAACAACATTGTAGAGGAAAATATATCAAATAAAATCAAACAAGTGTTTGTTTTCTGTTCAAGGACGGTTTCAAATGTCTTAAACGGAAAAAGTTTGATTTGCGCTAATCAACACTGCAAATCTTAAGTGTATGTGTTTTAAATTACTAAGTTGTGTTAAGAAAAGTCGGTGCATTATTTGGGAGATAAGCGATTATATGCAAAGTAAAGGATCATTTGTGTGTGCGCTATACAGAAGTTTAGCAAACTTAATTGCATTGATGTGTACGCAGAATTACTTTTAATTGATTGATTGGATCATTGGTTGATCTGAAAATGCACCAATTATCTCTGCGGCTACAAGTTAATGCTAGTCTAAAGATATTTTTTATTAAAATTTAAATTTCATTGTTGAGGACAATTATTATTATTATTATATACTGTATGTTATCCGATATCTGATTGGCGACGAAGCCCATGTCAAGAACCCTACTTTCTCAGAAATAGTTAGACTGTCTGGAAGTATGTGATAGAAACAATTGGCAGACATTAGTTTATTTGTCAAAATTAATTTCTATATCTTACATATCACTGAGAAGCCTTGAGCAACATGCCATTTATGATCATTATTTTTATAGACAATACCACTTACTGTCGATTCAAATATGATCGAGAATGGTAAATCTTAAATTTAAAAATACATAGGGGTGGCAGGAAACAAGCCATATACTAAAACTTATTACCTGGAAAACAGGTGATTGAATATTATCTGGCCTGATAGTGCAGTGGTAACATTACTTGTTCTAACAATTTTTATACATGTATATATAATTTCCATGTTTTTATTCACGAGAATGCTATAGCATGTATAATAAGATATAATTCAATTTAATTAAACAATTAAAACAATACCTTAAACCTATGTGGCACTCTCAAGCGCGCTGGCGCTGGCGTGTTAGTCTCCAGAGCCAAGAGAGTACCCAAATAGGTGATTACCATAGAGAAATGGGTGGTGAGGTGTTCACCAAGTGGCTTAATCAAAATGTTATCCCAAATCATTCAGCAGACACTGTCGTGATAATAGACAACGCGCATTATAACACTATTTGCGAAGACCAAGGAAATAAGTGTTTTTAAATAGTATTCAATTCTATTTGAAAAACCATGGCGAAATCAAGTACAAAAATATGATGACGCCCTTCTAACAGCGCCATAACATACACCTCAACCAAACAGCCCAGGACTCGCGTGCTCGCAATAAATAGATGATTTTCGTTGTAAGCCCAATAGCTCAATTGAATACCTGTGCATTGAAAAACATATTTTTGTATTGAGAAAATATATTATTGAAAAAAATGAAAATGCTGGGATTTGAACCAGCACCTGTATAGTTGATAGACCAGAGCGCTACCACTACACTACAATATCACACTGTAAGTAGTTATAACAATTATTTCCGTACACACATGACTGACCTTTTCTGAAGTGCTATGTTTACAACGGTTCCGAAATAAACAAACTTCAACAGTACTTAAAACGGAAAAAATAACACTTTATTTTCATGGTTATAAATGTTTTAATGTAGTAATTTGTATAAATGGAAATCGTATTTGTTTAAAATGTAAACAGTAAAACTTAAAAATTGAGAATGTCTTGAAAACCTTAAGCTATCACTAAAGGTGATCATACTCTAACCCGCCACCTTAACTTTTTGAGAGAAAATAATAGTGATCGGAAGCAAAATTTGAACTCAAACTTTATTTTTAAAATGTTTTATTTGTGTATCAGATATAACTACAAAACATTATATTGTTAAAAGAGTTAAATCGTTTGTTTATCAATATCTTTATGATAAATATTTAGTAACATTGATATTGACCTTGACCTCAGGGGTCCATAAACCTTTATACAGACAAGCTAACTACAACATCCCAAAAACTTCGATTGAGTGGGGGTATAATAAATTACAGTATACACTTAGCTATGCACCATAAAGCCTGAAAAGGTAGCCGTGTAGGCATCTCTTGAAAGGATAGGTGTGTAGTCGTCTGATGTGCCTTTTATCCAAACTTGGTTGTCTTTATTCAGAAGTAAGACTGTATCTGCAGAATAACAAGATGTCCAGTTTGCATCGTTGAAATGGCCCCTTTTAACATCAACGCCATCTACAACTATTGCATATATGAAGTCCGTAGTTTGAACTGAACATAACTGTATAGAAAACATGTACATTCCTGCCATTGGTGCAGTGAAAATTCCAGTATTGTTGTTATATCCATTGCCTGCATTCAAGGTGACAGTTTTGAAAACAAGTCTTGTTCCATGAAAATTACGTATAACACCTATGTCTTCTGAACGGAATGCAACTATTTGTACTAATTTGAAAGAAAAACACAGTATTAACTGAATATACATATACAAAAATGTCAAACATGTACGTAATGGATCTTGAAACTGTTTTGTCAATAAATATCAGAAAGTTATTTTTTACATTTGCATCCATTTAGATTATCGGAGCGTACTTTTTTTTCAACATTTATATAAAAATGAAGTTGAAAAACAATCCCACCGAATAAAAAAGATGTCATTTATAAATCTTGACTTTTATATCATGCGGTCTTAAGAGACCGTTTCATTAAGCGACCGTTTTGGGTGTTTCCCTTGCCCGGTCGCTTAATACACGTTTGACTGTATAGAATATACATATATACTCTAGTAACAAAATATAACCAGTACAAAACAGATATATTTAGGTCACATTTTTCATCAAATTATGACCGAAAAAATATATATTTTAAAGTTTCAAATTTCAGCTAACCAATTATAAATTACTTATGACATTGCATGACAATTTGTAGCACTATACATAGATACCTTTGCATATATTAGTATTACACGATCCTACTTCCATCGAATCTCCCTCGCAATATTGCCCAGTAATTGAAGGCTTTGGTCGTGAGCATTTCCTAGACCTATGGCGGAATCCACCGCCACAGGTTATGCTACAGCTTCCCCAGTTTTCCCATTCCGTCCAGCCACCATCTAAATTATTAATAAATAGTACTACAGATTAACGTGTGTGGGTCTATATGAATCTCATTGTCGCAACTTTATACATATCGCAATGAATTTAACAAAAGAGCAAATATTTTACAATTTTCTATTTCAAGCCTTCGAAATAATCTTCTTTAAAAATACATTAAAGTATTGGACGTTTTATTAAATATTTAAATGCTTCAACATAGTCTTCCTTAGGCATACTTTCCAATAACTTGAAAAACTGGCCGAAGTATATTTTTATTCTTTTGCGATAACTTGCTAGATGTTGTTTTTATCAGTCTAGGAAAGTGGAAAAATTCACAGGTTGCTAAATCTGGAGAATACGGTAGATGGTTAAGGACAGTAACTCGTTTTTTTAAAAAAAAAATCAATAGCTCCCTTGTTAGCCGAAGAGGGTTATGCAGAAAGTAAAAGCCTTTCATACCAGTCGAATGCAATGACTAATTTCATTATCATCATCATCGCCATCATCATTATTATTATCATTACGACATCTCTATGATACTTGAATGTGAAAAAACGGCATTTAGAAACAGGAATTTGGACAACAGTTCCACGGGAAGTGGACAAATCTACGTAACTATCTTAACACTTGTCAATTGCTTAGCAATGCATTGTCGACGAACGTGATTCGTGGCCTAAGTTGCAAACTGGCGTAAAATAGTGAAACCAGCTTTCATCACCAATCACAATATTAGATAAACGTCGCCTGTCATATTTTAGAACCATTTTCGAGCGCATTTAAGTCCCTTCTTATTCTGGTCAGTGGATTATCTATCTGGCAGTTATTCGCTTAACTTGCAGATTATCCTTCAGAATCGTTTGAGTTGACTCTTCAATATCCCTGCGATATGGGATATCTGGGTAAGTCTGACATCTTTGTCAATAATAAGCTTGGGACTCTTTAATTGACTCTTGACAATTTTTGAATGTATCCATTTCAAAACTATTGCATAACATACTTAATTGATGGCATAAATATTACAAATATCATTTTAAACATTTAAAACATTTTGTTCCCTATGTAAGCACGTATTTCAGCATTTTACCTGAACGTTTACCTGCCGTATGTTACTCGACCGGTAAGGTATTATTAAATGTTAATAAGTGACTACACGTCTGAGTTCGGTATCACTTGAAAGCAGGTGCTTGGAAGCATATCATTCCTTGCACATAAAAACGATAAAGGGCTAAATTTATAAATAGACTTCATATTGTATAACATTTTGACTCACCCTCGTAACTTTAGGAATAAAGTCGAATTACCTAAAACATTCATTTATGAATAAGAATATGGCTTGTACTCGTATATTGTGACGTTGCTAGTGTAAACGCATTTTTTTGATTACAATTCATAAAACTCGATTGAATAGAGTAGTGAAAATCAAGCAATCCATTATCACAAATTGGATATAATTAACCTTTCAATTGCGAGCCTAAATACTAGTATTGTATAAAAAATACAAATATTTCTCCTCGTTTTTAGTTGCATCGTGGTTATGTTGGTGAAAGAATGGAAATCAATACAATCGTGTCCCTTGTAAATACAGGTTGTGTATGTAAGTTTTAATCAATGTAATACTTGAGTCATTTAAGCAGTCATAACCGACATAGCGTACAAAAGCGTATTCGAGAAAGTGGAACTTTTTGTAGATTCAACATTAATTTGGATATGGTCCAAACGTTCAAACGCAATCATGGCGTAATTACAGGGATATCACACGATGTACGTTAAAAACGAGTGTTGGACATTATCATGTCCATTGAAGAAGTACCACCAGCAAACGGCGATTTTTTTTTAATTTCTAAACTCAAACATGTCATCGGAAGAAGAATAGTGTAGTAGATAATACTTCTGCAAAACATTTTTTTCCTTGTAAAAATACCTTGAACTTCATATTTGACATTGACAGTAAATGTCATTCAAATTTCAAGGTTTAATTTGCATTAATTAATCATCAGCTCATTCTTTTCTCATGTGTTCTTTTGTCCAAATATTAATCAAATCCGTAAATAAATAACAAAATTATGACTCGCTGTGAAATATTAAATCTGAAACAGAATTTCTATTCTTCTACACACATTTAAAATGTTCCCTTTGTTAATTTAGCATAGTTTTTCAACGAAGAATGCAAATTAAATGCTGTTTGAACAAAGAAAATCTTAAATAGTATTATTTACATCAAAAATATTCATTGAACGTCGCCTTTCCTTTTTGAACTTGTGTATCATTATTCACTGCCTTGCTCACCTACATTCAATGTTACTTAAAGGTCAAGTTCCTATTTTAATTTCTTTACATGTCAGATTTATTGTGAATGTTCTTTTGTGCAAGTATAAACCAAATCCATGTATTCGTACAAGTAGCAAAATTCACATGTTTGATATTAAGTGGCAAGGTAAAAAAAAACTGTTAATATCACATTTAATTAAATTTCCTTTTTCTCTTGTCCAATGATTGATGTGCCCAAGAATAAAGACAATTCACTCGTTTTAAAACGTTATAGCTAAGTATAGCAAACGACTAAGAATAGTACATACTTGCACAAGCTGTAGCAAGACATATCCTATCGTCAATATTGGCGCCGAAACAGTGATCTCCAAACCGAAGAGGAGCAGGGTTCGTACAGTTTCGTTGTCGTTGTTGTATTCCTATATCACACGTAGCCGAACATGCTCCCCATATACCCCAGACGCTCCATTGTCCGTGTACTAAGTATTGATGAAATCTCAATAACAATTCAGTTTTGATTAACATCAATCATTAAATCAGTGTCAGTTACAAACGGTCTACACATAACAATATCATTTACTGCATACAAAAAACATCATCTTAAGTAGTTACTTAAAATTTACAAGTAAAATAAACATTTAACTTATAAAAACTTTCACTTATTTATCAAAAACGTATATGCGTGTTTTAAATATTATAATGCAGAATTGCTCATTTTATTAACTTTTGATCCGTTGTCCTTTTTTTAAAGAGTTATGCACAAATGCAAAATTTAAACAAAGGGGGTATACTCTAATTATCATAAAGAAATTAAACCATATCGTTCATTTATTGTCTGTATTTGATATATCTGCATCCGATCAACATTTAAGATGATCCTTACCAGGACAAAGAGGTTTATGGCATACTTTACTGTCTACATTGTTTCCAATACAATCTTCACCTCCATCCTTTGGTGCAGGATTAGTGCATGACCGTGATCGAGACTGCTGACCGTCCTCACATGTTACATCACAAGGCGACCAAGACGTCCATTCCGTCCATAAACCATCAACTGGTAGTCAATTTTATAAAACATCTTTAGTCAACAAAAAGAACTGTAATGTTATTATCATATAAAACTACTAGTATGTTAAAATATCGACTGGTAGAAGTATTGCAAAAGATTATCTTTTCTGAGTTATATTTCATCCGTCCTAATATTGTACGGAATTCGACACGTTTTGAACCAAACACGAAAAGGTTGATGACCGTTGTAATAACTGTAAATCAAACATGTATAAGTAGTTTTCTTCCTTTTAAGGAAAAAAGAACTATAATGTCTGTAGAAACTAACTGAGATGTGACAATATTTAACTGCACCTTGAAATCCAAACCATTCAGAATGTGTCTTGATATTAATAGTTTCACTTTGACTAGGAGGTAAACAAAGTAACTAGTAGCAGACAACAGAAGGCATTATATCTTTGATCACTGAGCAAACATGTATTTCATTACACATCTTGTCTCGGCTAAATCAAATTGTCAGTCTTGCAGTTTTAGTAATTTCTTCGTTTTCTTAAATTTCATAGTGCTCCCGTCCAATCAGCGTCAACCACAAATTCCAATCGCAGTGATCATATATCAATCATATGGAATTTATTGCGAGTCAAATAATTTCAAACAAATAACTTGCCTACAGTTTGTTACGTATAGGAACTATCGACTGAGGTACCGTCCACTTAACGCAATAGGTAGAGCAATGGACTGTGAATCGGGAGATCCGGGTTCGATTCCCGGACGGTGCATGTCACCTTCGTACTGTACCACTGCTTTGATATGTACAGAAGCTATCAATTCCTTGTGCCGGCTCGCCACGGCGAGCCGGTATTACGTTAGGATTTTACTGAGAAACAACCTAAAACTCCGAATCCATCCAAAAATTTAATCAAAGCTTGGCTTCCAGCTTTCTATAAAAATTTATCTATCAGGGCTAGGATCCAAAATTATTTAGCCAATCAAATTTAATCTTACATAGCATCAAAAAACCTTCAATTTTCACGCCATATTTAAAAAGCAGCAAGTATTGCTTTGTGCGCAAAGATAATATGATGATTAAAAATGTTTGTTTTCATGAATTCTTTTCAATAAATCATATTTACACTGACTTTTGATTTAGCGATCTCACCGGTTCCTCTGTAGTAAGCTTTTGTTTGGTTAATTAACATAAGTGTACATCTAGTTCTGTGCATTTTTTTCTTTTTCCTTTTTTCCGGTCATTTTATCCTTTCCGGTATTTAGTGTATATATTTACTGGCCCGGATCCGGGACACCCGGACTGGCCGGGATCCGGGATCGTATAAGATATAGAAGAAAAACTAATAAACTATATTTGTGTTGATTATTGTCGTAATGAAAGGCCATTAAACGTTAAGTTTTTTTTATTATATGTAATGAACGTTAAATTAATTAAACTTAGGATATAAATATATTTAGAGCTATTTATCAACAAACTTAAAATGCGGAAATCACAATACTTATAATTATATCCCTAATTAATTGGAAAAATCAAAGACTACATTCTTGAATTGGTCAAATCCCGGGATCCCTTTGTTTTAATGCGATCCCAGCTTTTCTGAAAACTATATTCTTGAACTGGCCAATTCCTGGGATCTCTTTATATTTTAATACGATCCCGGCTTTTCTGAAAACTATATTCTTGAACTGGTCAATTCCCGGGATCCCTATATGTTTTAATAGGATCCCGGCTTATCTGAAAAGCATCTTAGACTGGTCAATTTCCGGGATCCCTATATTTTTAATAGGATCCCGGCTTTTCTGGCTGAATTGATTGACAACTTGTGTTTACTTTAGGACTTGTGTCTGTCACTCATTCCAATACTAAATAACATATTATAACTTAACTTTGTATAAAGAGACATCTTTATGAATTCTACCTATCTAACATTTATTTGGTCAAGGTCAACAGGCCATACAGTAAATGTGTATAGACATAGGGACTTCATTCTATCTGTTTACATGCATCTTCATATATACTCATATTCCTCTTTGTTAAACTGAGAGAACTGGCTTCCATAACTTTATGTCACTTTTATTTTGATGTTCGCTGAAGTCTCTTCAGCTAACAGAACTGTCATTTCTACATTTAAACGCACCCCTGGAAAAAAATTACGAAGCGAGTCGCTACTAGCTTTTTTAAAAGCTAACCTTGTAAAAGTTATGGTAAACTGATTGACTGCCTGTCTGGGAACGATGCGATGACTAAACTGTTCTCTGGTAAATTCAATGTGGCTTATTGTCGTGATCCGGATTGAAACTACCAAGACCACCACGTTACAAAACTGTGTGTAATATCAGTCATGCTATCAGTTATATTCGGATATCAAATGTGTATTTAAAACAAGATTCACACACCTACGCCACAAAGTCCACAAAAATTTCGACACACTCCCTTGGCATGTAAAATATCCTTGCAAATTCCAAACACTGAGTTCAGCCTAGGACAATCGATTGTGTTATCGTCTATGCAAACATCAGCTAAAAATATGGAACATACATGGAAAAGTGGTTTTATTTTGTATCAAATGTTTATTTATTTTTTACTATTGCATTCACGATATTGACCGTTTTTACTTATGACACTAGAAAAAATACATGTGGTTGATTAATGAATATCGACTAATTCAAAGCATTATCTTGATAAGAATATGATGAATGACTGAATTACCATAGTGTGCATGTGATTATGTTTAAACATTTTACATATATATACATGGGTGCGTCCGTGCCAGGGAGGTTAAGGTCGCTGAATTCAAACATTTTGCCCCTCACAGCTGACGGTTTGAATCCTGACAAGGACTTTGGATTCTTTCATGTAAGGCAGCTATCCAGCTAGCTTACGGAACGTCGGTGGATCTACTCAAGTGCTCGTTCGTGCCTGAAATAATGCACGGAAAGACACCCGAGGCCTTCCTCCACCAGTAAAGCTGGAACGTCACCGTATGACTTATACTGTGTATGAATGACATAAGACCCAGTCAAACAAACATATTAGAATTATATACATACGGTTTGTGCGAGGACAAAGAATGCTGTTACATAAATCAGTGGAGCAACACTCGTGGCACCTTTTGTCTTGTCGTTTATTCACGTCTCTACCAATCAGAGAACTTTGACTACCTGGAGCGGCTTCACATTGCTGTGGAAGGCAAACTAACACATGGTCTATATGACGAAAAAGTATGCTTTAACTGTAATTATTATAGAATTTTAAGATAACTTTGCGCTAGCTAGCAATACATTTTGTTTACGGTACAATGTTGGATAGCTTTAAAAATTGCAAAAATAACCGTTTGGGTCCGGGATATTGTGTGACCTTCCTACCTAGAGCTAAGAAAATATGGCATTGGCATATTATGGTGTTATTGCAACATGTATTGCATGCAAAATAATCACACATAGCTTATCTACGGTTGCTTATTTATGCCATGTCGTATTTTTGCTCCGCGCGGCGAAATTGATGATTGGTCGCTTTGACGTATTTTCGTGTTTACGGTTGGCGCCACGCATTCCAAAGGTACGATAAAATGGTCATATTGTCTTATTTTCGTGTTTACGCCTGGCGTCTCGCCACAAAATGGTCACATTGTCGTATATTCGTCTGGCGCATTGCATACAAACCGGTCTCTCAAATATCGACCTGTATCGTACGACGCATTACTCGCCCCAATGAGCGACATAAAGAATTCCGCGTAGGGATGACGATTTTATTTGATAAATTTAAAAACACAATATGTCTTTCCAAGAGATTAACATTGTTTATTGCTTCCAAGAAATCACTGTTTTCAAGATTTTTAATAGTGCAAGTGCAATTGATAGTTCGACTGTGTTACTATTTATTCAAATATTCAAAATTACTTTCACTTTCGGTTTTAAACTAACAATGGACGAACTACTATCAGAAATTGGGTTTGTAAAACCGCTAAAGGATTGTCAGAAGGAGTGTTCGATACATGTTTTGAGTAAAAATGATGTAATGGCTATTTTGCCAACAGTGTATGGGAAAAGTTTCAAGTGGCCCCATTTGCGTTAAAAGTAAAGTATAATCTGGTTTCTTTAGTTTGCTTAATTTGATACCCTTGAACAGCATCGTGATGGACCAGATTAATTCATTGAAAAAAAACAAGGTATAGATGCATGCTGCATCACTTCCGTGTTCAACCCGCCATGTTAAAAGTAGTGCGTTCCCATCATGCTTAGAGTGGTTTCACACAGGTCAGTAAGACCGTTGTACACAATGCATCTGGCGCATCCAAAGGTACATGGCATAAAAGAGCCATCATACTTATCTCAAATTGTGCATGGTAATGAATTCGAAAACTTTTATAAAACTAGTAAGTTCGTATTTACATTAAAAAAATGAGTAATACCTTTACGTATATACATCCTAACGTGAATGTCCTTTGTTGTCCCGAGATAACAGACACTTGGTTACAGACCTGGCAACAATCAAACATTTATTATATTATTTTATCACATAAACCGCGGTGCAGGAGTGTAATAAAGCCATTTAATAAAAACGATATTACACTAGTGTTATAACACTTTGACGTGACGTCATTTGCTCTATATAGAAACATAGCGTTAAAGCGCGTTAATGTTAGCGTTACACTATAGGGCGTCATTGAAAAATTACTCATTTTATCAGTTTACTGTTCTTATTTTATATATGTGATAAAAAGAATATTATATTCGTGTAGATTCAATACTAAATTTATTGAACTCGTTGAATAAAGCAATATTATGCTCGCCAGAGGCTCGCATAATATGATTTTATTCAACTCGTTCAATAAATTTAGTATTAAACTACACTCATTCAATATCCTCTATGTATTGTTTAAATAAACAATATTCAATACTTATTTCAGCGAAATCAGTCATAATTCAAAATTCTTCTACAATTACATTTCAAATCTGACAAATAAGCTTAATAGGGTAAGACAACCCTGCATGAAATATCTCTCAATTTATGTAAACTTATAAACAAACCTGGTTAGCGTCACACATGAGTGTTGTGCTGCATGTTGCTGGATCAGTGATGTTCACGCATCCATAGCATTCTAATGCTTCTACAAAGTAGGACTAATTCAATAAATTACCATCTTACATTTTACATAAGCATGCAAAAGGAAGATATATGAGGTTCTGTCCGTGCTTATCAGAATGGTGAAAATTATTGTAATACTGGGTCGAATAAGACAGAAGATATTTCATCTATACATGTAGTATTTCTTATTTCACTTTAAGGGATATTATGTAACCATCGAAAGTGAGCATAATTCTGATTCAAATCAAAGAAAGATGTCGGTTAAAGCTCTTTATAGGGAGGGGTGTGTGAAAAATGCTGCTATGCTCTTCAGTAATTCAATCGGAACCGAAATACAGCATTTATGAGGCAACATTTAAGAGATTCTTTTATTTTTTCCTCTTTTTAGACTTGTTGTCCAAGCTGAAATAGTAGTGCACAAACCCGTTACTTAGTGTTTAGTTTTTTGTGTTGTTTACAGCATACTAAATTTGGTTCAAATAAATCTTATAATATTACATTACGATAAATGTTTTAAGTGGAATTTTGTTCATATTTTCACCATCAATTTGAACTTAATTTACTATACATTTCAATAGATTGACTATTATAATGGTGATTGACTAAAAGTTGATATTGGAAAATGTTTTGGCTGCCTAAAATATATTTAAAAAAGACTGTCCCACTCTTTTGATAAGGCAATTGCCGACGGATATGCATTTACTTAAATTTCCTTATCCCCCGTGAGTTATTTATAATTCGTGCGAAGTAAATCACAACATTGAAAGCAATAATGGCAAAAAGGAAACTTATTTTGACCGTTTGATTGGCATAATGTCACTTTAATATTAGTGTTATGATATCTTACATAAAGAGGAAAAAATGACTGAACTTGCCTGCAAATGGGATATGCAAAAGCATCACCACTCCAACTGAAATATTTCAATATTGTAATTTTCGTTAAATTAAAACTTTTCAAACTCTAAATGCTGCGGATGGAGTTTTAGGCACATTAGTGAAAGCGATAAAGCTCACCGGCAAGCAAACGAAAGATATGAGGTTCTTTTCAGACAGATGCCCGTTAATTGGTGCGTGAATAACTTCACGAAGAGACAACTGGGATAATGCAGCCGTTGCATAAAGTTAAACGTATTTGAAATTCAACAAAATAATCAAAACCTCACATTATATGTGATTTTTGTTGAGATTGAATTTTCTTTTTGAGTTTATACTGTCAGGAAAATATTCAATCTAATAAATATCAAAATATGAATATCAATATCAGTTAAGCAACCTATGATAATTGACAAATTTGATAACAACAGTGGTTAAATGTTAAGTAAAAATGTTTTAGAAGACATACCATACTTAAGTAACATATAAAACATCGTTATAAAAGATTTCCTCTATCTATATCCTCTAGATGAAAGTTTTTGAAAAGTTTATCATTATGAAACGACCTTTTTGGTGAATTTATCTAAATTTGGAAAGTTGCAGACCAAATCGTGCATTTAAATTTACAGCATATATATATCTATCACTGTAAGACATGTAACTGATAAGAATGAATTCTGATATAGAGAATGACCCACGTAAACCAGAGCGGTTCGTAAAAGAGTCTAGTAGTCTATATTACGGGGCATTTTGGTCGGGATTCACTTTTCTGTATCATAAAGTGGCAATATGCTCATTTTGGCGCAAGAAGGTTGAGTTGAATTAGTAATATACTTCAAGAGATTGACTATAATTACGGTAATTGACCAATAATTGGTACTGAAAGATGTAAATGATATATTTATTATCATTTATAACAAAGACTGCCACACTCCCTTTTTTCAGAATAGTGCGTTTCCGATATATTCTGAACAACATTTATAAAAAAAATCCGGTGGTCACGAGGATCCATATTTTACCACAGTAAAATATATAATTGACACGGTTATATTTCAAAATGTCATGTTATTATCATGAATTTGTATCTGTCCCCTGCCCATTTACACTAATATGAGCATAATTTCACTTTAATTCATGCCAGAATTTTCAAAAAGTTGTTTTCCGGACCTCGGCAATTGTGGTATTTGTCAAGTATATCTCCCGGTGCAAACAAGTTGTTTTTCTTTCTATTTTTAACTATCTCTACGGCGCACTGCCGTTTACAATAGTCAACCAGATGCGCTAATGTGCGAAGTTGTAACTATAAACTTTGTTTGTACACCCGGGTTATATTCGTCCTTCCGGAGTAATTCTATTAATTCCCTTAAACAAATTCAAAATTGAAAGTTCCAAAATTGAACGCAGGCGGATGAACAGGTCCATTTAACAAACTAACACCGATACAGATATTTAAGTAGATTCCAATGTTTTAATGTATGATACAGTGACAAATACGGCGTCATTCCTAAGAGCGTATTTCATCCGGGAACGACATTCTTTAAAGCATGCATCACAGGGTTGTCTGAGAGCTATATATTCCATTTGTACCGACAGCCGGTGTTTTATTCTTTTTCTTGCATATCACATATATTCATACTTCGGAAAGAAATGTCGAAAGCTTTTCATTTAGCACCTTTTAATACATGTATAGTAGCGTAGGAATTCATAACTTAACTTCCGGACGTCATTCTTAACACTCAACTCAAGCATAAAAGGCGCGCAGGAATGACGTCATTTAAGGCACACCACATGTCTTACATGGGGTAGTAATTATTCTTTTTTTTCTGATGTAACAAGTAGAAAATCTTATGTCCGTAACTCAAATTCCAAATAGTTTTTGAATTAGTGGTGAGAAACAAAAAACCGTTACACTCAATGTCAGAGGTCGTCATTAATAAAGTTCGCCTCACCAGAAGATGAACCTATTACCCCAGGATTATCTTTCCGAAGCTCCTCCTATTGAGGTTAGCGGATAAACGGCTTATCAAGGTGATGTTATCAAAATAACTATTAGTATACTGATAATGTGTTACAGTTTTTATTGTCCATGTACCATACAAAACTAAAATTCAAGTTTTTATAATTGTATTCCAATGTTCCAAGAATGAAACTTCAGGAGGGCCACCAAAATTGCACCAGTATTTTAGCTTACCTTCCACTCCTATATGCTTCGTCACAATGACCTCTAAACAAACCAACCTGCTTGCAGAAATTCCCCTAAGCACTTATACTACATTATTGTCTTTCCCCTAAGCTACTTTGAAACTGTTGCAGATTAATCTTCGGCAAGTTTAACCTTATTTTAGAGAAAAGCTTACTGGCAAAATTGGAAGCGTTGCTTCTAGCTGGTACCCGCTTAGTCTGGAGCTAATTCCCCTTACACGATGTTAGTAAATGCGGACAGCAAACCAGACTAGTACTCAATGACAATATTAGGAAGGGATGCAGCATTATATATTTAACTATAATTGTAGATTTTGCTGCTTTTTCAGTGGAGTGAGACCCAAATATCTCAAAGATCTCATCAATCAAAGAAAAGAACACTGAACACATTTTTCAAAGATATTTCTTGTTATAACTATAACAAAAACACAAGCATGAAGAAATCAATATAACAAAAGCAATAAACTGTTTAAAACAATCTTCCCTAGAAAAACAAGAGGGCCATGATGGCCCTGAGGTCGCTCACCTGTATATAGGGCCCCCGGCAGGGCCAATTTTAACCCAAGGGCTTTTATTTGAACAAACTTGGTAGACACCCATAAGAAGATGTTTCATGCTAAACATCTAAGCTCTAGCTCATTGGGTTTTTTAAAAGAAGATTTTTTAAGTTTTTACTATACACATATATTTAAAAACAATGACACCTCTGAGGCGGGGCCAGTTTTGACACCAGGGCTTTTATTTGAACAAACTTTGTAGACACTTACTAGAAGATGTTTCATGCTTAATATCTAAACTCTAGCTATTTGGTTTTTTTTCAAAGAAGATTTTTTAAGTTTTTTGCTATACACATATAGGGAAAATCAATGACCCCCGGGGCGGGGCCAATTTTGACCCCAAGGCTTTTATTTGAACAAACTTGGTAGACACCCATTAGAACATGTTTCATGCTAAATATCTTAGCTCTAGCTCTTTGGGTTCTTTAAAAGAAGATTTTTTAAAGTTTTTACTATATGCATATAGGGAAAATCAATGACCCCCTGGGGCGGGGCCAATTTTGACCCCGGGGCTTTTATTTGAACAAACTTGGTAGACACTCACTAGAAAATGTTGCATGCCAAATATCTAAGCTCTAGCTCTTAGGGTTTTTTTAAAGAAGATATTTAAAGTTTTTTCTTTCGGTTGCCATGGCAACCAGAGTTCTGCATGGAATTAAATTCTTTGAACAATTTTTAAAGGTGACCACCAAAGGAACATTCCTGTGAAGTTTGGATGAAATTGGCCTAGTGGTTTATGAGGAGATGTCATTTAAAGTAAAAGTTTACGGACGGACGACGGACGAAAAGCGATCACAAAAGCTCACCCTGTCACTTTGTGACAGGTGAGCTAAAAATTCAGACATTTTCACTTTAAATAATCTAAGCTATTTTTGTCTCAATGAATTAACAGTTCTTTCCATCAGTATCATTAAAGATCCTGTATGTTTTAATTCAGGTTGTTACCACACTTAAATGAAATTTTATATATGTATATAATTATGCTTCTAAAACAATTTTCAAACATCAAAGAATATGTCAAATAGGTACTGCAAATATGTGTCCACATTATATGTTATCATTAAAATATATGCATTCATTTCTTATTGAAAAATTTGACTTAGACATTATAGAAAATAAATTTTTTATTACCTGCCTTTATTTACATGAAATGTTAAATTTGGTAGTATCTTTATAAATAAAGCTTTTTGGAACTTACAAAATTGATAAATCTGAATTTGAGCATCATGTTTATAGTATAAAACCATAAAACAAGAGGGCCATGATGGCCCTGAGTCGCTCACCAGAAACAACTGCTTTTCAGTGTTGGAATGTCAATATGTTCTCATATTAAACTTGAGAATATGTTTAAACAATAATTTGAAGAAATGCCATGACCTGGGTCATTTAAGCTTTAGCTTAAACAGGGCTAATCAAATTAATATTAGCAAACTTGATAAAAGACTACCTAAGAATGCTACAAAGTTTGGTGATCATCTATCAATTATTTCAGTAGGAAATGATGTTCGAAGGTTTTTTTCTATTTTTAGCTTTAGTGGTCCCTAAAAGGGGCTAATCAAATTGATATAAGCAAACTTGATAAAAGAGTACCCAAGAATGCTACAGACAAAGTTTGTTGATCATCCATCAATTTATTCTGAAGTAGGATATGTTTAAAGGTTTTTCTATTTTTAGCCCTAGATACCCCTAAAGGGCCAATCAAATTAATGTGAGCAAACTTGATAAAAGATTACCCAAGAATGCTACAGACAGAGTTTGGTGATCATCCATCAATTAGTTCTGTAGAAATAGACATTTAAAGGTATTTCTATTTTTAGCTTTTGCAGCCCCTTAAAGGGGCCAATCAAAATAATATTGGCAAACTTGATAAAAGACTACCCAAAAATGCTACAGACAAAGTTTGGTGATCATCCATCAATTAGTTCTCTAGAAAAAGACATTTAACTTAATTTCTATTTTTAGCTTTAGAGGCCCCTAAAAGGGGCCAATCAAATTAATATGAGCAAACTTGATAAAACACTACCCGAGAATGCTGTCGACAAAATTTGGTGATCATCCATCAATTAGTTCTCTAGAAAAAGACATTTAAAGGTATTACTATTTTTAGCTTTTGCGGCCCCTAAAAAGGGCCAATCAAAATAATATTAGCAAACTTGATAAAAGACTACCCAAAAATGCTACAGACAAAGTTTGGTGATCATCCATCAATTAGTTCTCTAGAAATAGACAATTTAAACAGTATTTCTATTTTTAGCTTTAGCGGCCCCTTAAAGGGGCCAATCAAAATAATATGAGCAAACTTGATAAAACACTACCTAAGAATGCTACAGACAAAGTTTGGTGATCATCCATCAATTAGTTCTGTAGGAGAAGATGTTTAAATGTTTTTCTATTTTTAGCCCTAGAGACCCCTAAAAGGGGCCAATCAAAATAATATTAGCAAACTTGATAAAAGACTACCTAAGAACGCTACAGACAAAGTTTGGTGATTATCCATCAATTAGTTCTCTAGAAATAGACGTTTTAAGGTTTTTCTATTTTTAGCTCTAGCGGCCCCTAAAAGGGGCCAATCAAATTCATATGAGCAAAAGGTGTTACAGGATCTTTAAATCAATAATATCATGACATAATCACTGAAATTATCATAAAATCATTAAACTGGTTATAGTTATTAAAATAATAATGCAACCACTGAAATCATCATATAATTATACACTACAAATAACACTAACCATACATTTACTGAAATTATCTTATAGTATTTAAAATTATCAAAGTAGGATAGTACTTATTACACAAAATAATGCGTTATCCTTGGTTTGCTCAAAATAATAT